CCACCGCTGTGGTGGTGGTGGCAACACATCGCGGGCCTCCCAAAAGTGCTTTCAGCACTGATTAAGGTAAGACACACGCACACAACCCCCCCCACCACCACACACATGTACATTCGGTCACATGCACATGTACTAAGCCCCCCACACCCTCACACTTTTTTTTCTCTCTCTTAGGTACCAGTCAGTCCCGGAAGTGGACGGCTGACACTCACTTTTTTCCCCTCCTTTTTTTGTTTTGGTGAGTTGGTATGGTGCCATTTTTGGCGTCCCAACCAACGAGCCATCCTCGCCTCGGCGAGGAAGGTAAGCACCTTGCTACCTTGCAACAACACCAACTCCTCTCACTCCAATGATCACACACACATGCACATGCACATGCACATGCACATGCACATGCACATGCTTGCACCCACACTTACTCACAGACACACCACGCATGCACATTGGTTCCTCGTTTCTTCGTTTCTACTTGGACTCTGGATTTGCCGACTGTCACCCTCGCCGACTGCACCTGATCGTGCCCTTCACGCTGCCTCTTGTCTCTTCCCCTGTCGTCTCTGTCTGCTTGTCTCTCTTTCTCTTATGCTGCTGCTGCTGCTGCTGCTGCTGCTGCTGCTCTCGTGCTTGTCTGTCCCTTTTCTCTTCTTTTGGCGGCTGTTCGTGGGCCAACAAAAATTTGATTCGATGCACAAAGGAGTGCCCGTCTTGTTGTTGTTGTGGTGTGCTTGCTTCTTGTGTGTTTTTTTTTGTGTGTCGTGCACTCTGACAGAGAAAGAAGGACGACCCAAGCAGCAAGCAGCAAGCAAGCAAGCAAGCAAGATGGCAGGTGGTGGTGCTGGTGGTGCTGGCGGTGGCGGTGTGCGGTGGGGTGAGCTGGTGCTGTTGTTGATGTTGTATCTTGTGCAGGGCTTGCCGTTTGGCATGCAAGTGAAGACGTTGCCCATCCTCCTTCGCCAGGAAGGCGTGTCCCTGTCGGCGATTTCGTCTCTGGGCATCCTCTCGCTGCCGTGGCTGGTGAAGCTGGCATGGGCGCCGCTCGTCGACTCATACTACTGGCCTCGCTTCGGCCGTCGCAAGTCATGGATTGTGCCCTGCCTCATCATCATCGGTCAGTCTCTGGAGAGGACTGTGGAATGAGAAGGGGAGAGAGACAGCGGAAACGGAGGAGGTAGTGAGAATGCGGGGAGACACACAAACACTCACTCACTCACTCACTCACTCACTCACTCACTCACTCACTCACTCACTCACTCACTCACTCACTCACTCACACACACACACACACACACACACACAAACACACACACACACAAACACACACAAACACACACACACACACAAACACACACAAACACACACACACACACACTCACTCACTCACTCACTCACTCACTCACACACTCACAAACACACACTCACAAACACACACACACACACTCTCTCTCTCTCTCTCCCATACCGACATTAGGTGGTGCGGCGCTGACTGTACTGCCATCGCGGTCAATCCCACACATGCTGGTTGTCATCTTTGTGATGAACCTGGCGGCATCCGTTCAAGACATTGCCACAGATGGCCTGGCCATCGACGTGCTCACGGACGAGAAGTCGCTCGCCTTTGGCAACGCCGCACAAGTCGTGGGCTTCAAGGCCGGCATGATGCTGGCTGGTGGGCTCGTGCCGTGGTACTTTGCCGACAACCCGTGGCTCGGGTGCTTTGGTGTCATCGCCGTCGTCACAATGGGGCTGGCTGCCCTGCTGCTCATGCACAAAGGGCCCATCACGGAGTCGGCTCCAGCCACATCCGCTGACAAGGGCGACACAGCGTCTGCCACGTCAGCAGCAGCCCGGCCTGCGGTGGCGCACGACGTGGAGGACATTGTGCACAAGATGAAGGAGGTGTTTGGGATGATCCTTCGCCAGTTCAAGCAACCGGCTGTTCGTCCGCTGCTGCTGCTGCTGCTCACCTACAAGAGCGGCGAGGTGATGGCGGATGTCATGTTCAAGCCGTTTCTGCTTGACGAAGGGGTGGAGGCCGACCTGGTCAGTCTCTGGACCGGCGTCATCGGTAGTGCGTTTTCCATCGTCGGCTCTCTCGCAGGTGTGTGTGTGTGTGTGCGTATGCGCGCGCGTGTGTGTGTGTGTCTGCGCGTGCGTGCGTGTGTGTGTGTCTGTGTGTGTCTGTACGTGTGTGTGTCTGTGTGTGTGTGTGTGCCTGTGTGTGTCTGTACGTGCGCGCGCGCGTGTGTGTGTCTGTATCTTCTTCCTCCTCTTCTTTCTCTTTTTGCTTCTCGGCTCCTCCTGCCTCCCTCCGTTTCCTTCCCTTCCTCACCCGCTTGTCTCATGCTGTACCTGTGTTTCGCCGTGCTACAGGTGGCTACTGCTCTGGTCGTTTCAGTGCTCGCACGACGCTGCTGGTGTCGGGCGTCTTACGTGTGGCAGCACAGCTTGGCCGTGCGCTTGCTGCTGTTCTCACCGTCTCTGCAGACTCGCCGCTGCCCATATTGACTCTCATCGCCACCGAAGCCATCACTGGCGGGGTTGTCACCACCGCAGTCTTTACCCTCATGATGGCGCAGGTGTGTGTGTGTGGGGGGGGATGAATGTATGTGTGTGGGTGAACGTATGTGTGTGGGTGAATGCATGTGTGTGGGTGACTGTATGTGTGTGGGTGAATGTATGTGTGTGGGTGAACGTATGTTTGTGAGGGTGTGCCTTCTCTGTCTTGCTTGTTCCTCTTCCTCTCTGTGAGTGTGTACTGCTTCGTTGGTAGTGGGTGCATGTCCTTCCTTCATTCTCACCCTCCTCATCATTTCCGTCGCCACCACTGCCACTTCAATTTTTGTTCTCCTTCCTTGCTGTGTGGCCCGTATACTCATGCATGTGCGTGCCCCTCAGAGCCAGCCAGGCGTCGCTGGGACGCCAAACACGGCGACATTCTACACGACACTGACGACTGTGGAGTTGGTGGGCAAGAGCGCAGCAAGCATCCTCTCCGGCGTGTTTGCAGAGCACATGGGCTATGAGGCGTTTTTCTTCTTCACAGCCATCGTAAGATAAAGAGTTTGTAATGTGTGCGTGTGTGCGTGCGTGCGTGCGTGCGTGTGTGCGCGAGTACTCGTAGTGCGAGACACATCAAAGCTCACTCACCCTATGCTCACTCACACACACTCACTCCCACCCTTACCCACCCACCCACCCACACACACACACACACACACACACACACACACACACACACACACACACACACACGCACACACACACTCACACACCCACGCACATGCCTACAGTTGAGTGCAATCCCCCTGTGGTTTGCTCGGAACATCAAGTCCCACGCACAATGATTTGGCTGATGCCGCCACCCCTCTGTACACACATGCACACGAAAAGCTCTGGAACACACCACAGCCACTCAATGATTAAACCCAGATCACGCAAGTGAGAGTCGACCCACCCCTGTTCTCCTGTTGCATTCGCATGCACACACAGACATACACATCGACATGCAACCGCGTTGCGGGACAAAACGTGCAACTGAGCACTGTCCCAACCAACTTGCGGCCAGGTGCCCTGACACACACACACATCATGCGCGTGACATGACCTTGCTCAGGTTTTCCTTGATATCAGTTGATTTTTCACGTTGGCAACGACGAATACGGCACAACAAGTACATTCGCAACACTGCAACACTGCGACAGACCTTCTTACACCACCCTACCACCCACCTCCTCGCTTCTTCATAGACACAACAAGACACGCTATACGCAACACACGCGCGTCAAAGATGAGCAACGGAAAGGCAGACATGTCGGCTGTGGTGCGTGTCGGCAGCAGGAATGCTGGAGTGATGCAGTACCCTTGTCTCGGTCAAACACACCTTGTGTTGTTGCGTGTGTGTTATCTGGCCTTTGCTGTAGACATGCTGTCACCGCGCTGCTCCTGCGATCGGCGTGTTGTGGGCTCTCGTCGATGTCACTTGCAACAGTACTGTTGAGATGTAGACTTGCGCGTGTGCTCTACCGCTGTCGGTGGGCTCATCTGCACTTCCGTGCTTGGTGTGCGCTCTGTTTGCCTTTGCTCTGCGACGCGCCATGTCTGCAGAAGGAGACGGCAGACATCCTCGAGCGCATATCCCAGCGTGACGGCACAGAAGGCGTTGTTATCGTTGGCGACAAGGGTATGAGTGTGCGTGCGTGTGCGTAAGGGTGTGCGTCCTTACACACTTGTTGTCATGAAGCGATGCGCACCTCCAAGAGCCAGCACCTCCCAATCCCAAGAGTACCGCTAGACCTCTTGTTGTGCGTCTTCCTTGGATGCATGCACACCAACACTCACACATTAGCTCTTGCTTGCTGCCACGTCACGTCGCACCACGATGCAACAGGGATGGTGATGCATTCCACGATGGAAGGCTCCCTCAAGAGCGCAGAGAACTGGGTACAGATGACCAGGACGGCCAAGCACGTCGTGCGCGAAGTCGACCCAACGGTACGGCAGTAGTATCGAGCCCAAACCAGTGTGCGTGAAGCTGGGCCTCCTTGAGCTCTGCGATGTGGAGGCGGTGTGCTGGGTGATGGGAGTCTGGGTGTGCCTTACCGTGCGCCCTTGTCAGTGTCATGTTTCATCTATCTACTACGAGATCTTCTGGAGAGTGACTGCCTGTGAGGCGGCCGTTCATTGACGTGCATGGTCTCACTGTGAAAAGTGTGAAAGTGCCCATCACCCCTCACCTTTCTTCCCCATGCCAGAACGACTTGAGTGTGCTCCGCATCCGCACGAAGAAGCGCGAGATCCTCATCACGCCTGGTGTGTGCGCTGTCGACTGGTCTTTTTGCCTTGTGTGCTCCCGAGCGAGGGAGAAGGGTGTGTACACTACACTGAGCAGTTCACAGCTGAAGTGTGAAAGTGTGAAGGGTGACAGCTGGTCAAAGTCCGTGCTTGTGTGTTTGGCGTGGCGTCTTCAGCCAACCTGATCACGTATGACCTCTGCACCTTTCCACAGCACGTATCACCTTTCTTTTCACCTCACGCACACTCAACGCACATTCAACGCACGCTAACCCCATCGTGTGCATCTGCATCCCATCCACCCTGTGCGCAGACGACAAGCACATGCTGATGGTGTTCCAAACGACGGATCGCAAGTAAAGCACGCAACTCATGTGCTGTGCCAGTGTCATCTACGACCACCAGACCAGGCACAGTGCAAGGGTGCACACCACCCACGACCGCTTGTGCTCTTCTGCTTTTTGCTTCTGTTCACTAGATTTCCTTCCATTCTATCCAGAGCTTCCAGCATGGGCATATGCCCCTTTCCTTCATTTCTGATCCAATGCCGACTTGACATGCGTGTGTACATACTGAACGAAATCTCCGCGCTGTGTGTGTGTGTGTGTGCGCGCGCGGGTGTGTGTGTGTGTGTGTGTGTGTGTGTGTGTGTGTGTGTGTGTGTGTGTGTGTGTGTGTGTGTGTGTGTGTGTGTGTGTGTGTGTGTGTGTGTGTGTGATATGGATATCTATACACGACCAACCACACAGCCCCACACGAGCGTGCTTGCTGATCCGGGTATCACCAGCACAACGAATCAGAGGCTACATTTCCACACGTAACGATCAGAGGGGGTTGGACACACACACACACACACACACACACACACACACACACACACACACACACACACACACACACACACACACACACACTCACTTCGCACACACACACACACACACACACTCACTTCGCACACACACACACACACGCACACACGCGCACGCATGCACGCATCCACGCACACATGCACACACACATGTACATACACAAAACTTGGCAGCGATGACGAGGTGTGTCGGGGAGCGTCTATTACACAACAAGCTGCGACAACATTACCACCAACAAGTCACACATGCACATGGCCATCACACACAGGCATGTGTCGTAACTGTAACCAAAAAAAAAAGCAACGCAGCACAGATGAACAGACAGGCAGGCAGACACACACACACACACACCAAGTCACAAGACTCACGATTGCACAGCAGGACATCAACCGTTCAGCATGCAGCATGCACACACATATCAAGGAAAGAAGCAAGCGCAGAACAACGAGGATGAGGAAGTGTGGAGATGAAGGGGAGCTTGAGCTTAGGCGTCAGTTGGGTTTTGGATGACGACGAGCAGATAATCGTTGTCTGTTGAACGCAGTGCCACAGTACACGCACAAGGGGTGTGTGAGTTGGAAACGGGTGCAACAAAACCAAGGGGTTCATGCACGCGTGGGAACGAACGCCCCAACGGGCCTTTGAATGCATCAGCACTGAGTATGCAGGTGCACCACACACACGTAAACCCACGCACACAAAGTTCGCTCGCACGTACACACACACACACACACACACACACACACACACACACACACACACCTGGTGCCACCATGATCTCGTGTTTCTTTGATCGCAGTCTGAGGAACGTCAATCCATCCTATAGTATGCAAAAGGGGAGCCACAAGTGGAAGGTGTCAGCTGGCGCAATGACTAAGATGAAACTGAAGGGCACGCATGCACGAAAGTACACACATACACACGAAAGTACACGCACACGCAATCACGCACACATACATCCACCCACATCGCTAGCACGCGACATGCATGAGCGCAGCAGCAGCAATAGTGCGCATGCGAAACAACACACCTGTGGGTCAAGCTCCCGCACGACGTGGCTCGCCTGTGCAGCAATCGAGGAAATGAGGCCTGCATACTGTGTTGTGGCTGTCTGATCCAACGTGGACTTGATGGCAATGCCTGCGCAAGGCAAAGCATGTTCAAGGAAACGTCAGGCGGTGGTAATGTGGGCGCGCACACAACCCATGCCCCTCGTAAATACACACACGCACACACAACATCGAACGCACACTCCCTCCCTCTCCCCACACACACACACTCACGAACCTTCTTTGTTGAGAATCACAATGCCTTCGACGCCCTTGTGGCCGGAGATGCGCTTGAGTGTCTCCTCAACTTCGGCGCTCTGCACACACACCACAGCGTTTTCCACGGTTTCGTGAGGCAACAGAAGAGCGCACACACATATAAGCACACATATACGCACACACGCACACGCACACGCACACGTACACAAGCATGCACACACAAGCATACACGCACACGGCATGCACACGCACCATGGTTCTGGTTGTTGGCTGGTGGTGGTGGTTGGTGGTGCTTGTTGTCTGGCGCTGGTGGTTGGCAAGAAAAAAAAATACTGGCTGCAGAAAGGGAGGATTCGCAATATCTTCAATTAGCTTTCAAACCCAAACAAGGGCAGCGGAAGCAGTGCAGACCATCACCATCACCATCATCGACCACCGCGCAAGTGTCGCCTCCCTCATCGTCGCCATCACCATGGCATCGTTCCTCGCACGAGCGACGGCTGCTGGACAAGCACTACCTGCGCGAGCAAGCGCCATCCTCACCTTCTGGTTTGGGCAGGACCCACACTGGCCAGCGTCACCGTCGACCACGGTGAGACTCTGATTGAGCATGGCGTGACGTTCGTGCTCGTTGCTTGGTTGGTTGTGCAAGATGAAGTGTGATCTTCTTCTTTTCATCACAGCTTGTGGCTTGTGGTGCCTTGCGCCTCATCGTGTTCAAGTCCAACCACGTGTCCCAGTGCTCAACGCCATTGTTGTCACTGCTTAATAGGAGGTCGTGGCCAGGACAGCGTACCTTGCTTCTCTTCCGCACCAAATGAAGCTGTGGTTTGCTGGCGGCAAAGAAGTGGACGAGGTTGGTCCACAGCTGTGTCACCAGCGTCTGTGGTGCGTGTGTGTGTGCAGGTGTGTGTATGTTAGTGTGTGTGTGTGTGGTGCGTGTGGTGCGTGTGTGTGTGCGTGTCCGTGCGTGTGTGTGTCCGTGCGTGTGTGCTTGTTTGATGCATCGAAGCGGATGGGTGCTTTGACCGTTACTCACACGCTCACAAAAAATACATTCGCACCCACAATTCATGCTGTACACAACACATTGGCACGTATCACATGTGCTCTGTGCGATGCAGCAAATCCGGTCTGAATTTGCTGGGGATCTGGCCAAGCTGGACGACGACAACAAGGCATATGACAGCTGGGTTGCGTGCGAGAACCCGCGCGCGTCACTTGCCCTCATCCTGCTCACCGACCAGTTTACCCGCAACATCTTTCGCGGTTCCGCAAAGTGCTTTTCCTACGACAGCTTGGCTCTGAACACGACGCTACAACTCCTTGGTGCGTGTGAGTGTGAGTGAGTGAGTGAGGGAGGGAGTGAGAGTGAGAGAGTGTGCTCTGTGTGAGAGAGAGTGAGAGAGGGAGTGAGAGTGAGAGAGTGTGCTCTGTGTGTGTATGTGTGAGAGAGAGAGTGAGAGAGTGTGTGTGTTCACGTGCGTTTGCTTTCAACAGAGCACAGAACCCCCCCCTTCCCCCACCATGATACACATGTGCTACATATGCTCTGCCCTTCGTCTTCCTTCTTCCTTCCTTGCCTCTTCTTCACTTTGTTAATCACACACACACACGCACACACACACACACACTCTCTCTCACCCCTCACCCACTGTCGTTCACCGACACTCTCCGTGGTTGTGCTGTTGCACAGATGATGGGCGGATGCGTGAGCTGCGGCCTGTTGAGCGCATGTTTGCGCTGATGCCTCTGGAGCACAGCGAGGACCTCGCCCACCACGAGCGCATGGCAGCTGAGCTGCAGCAGATGAAGGAGGAGGCAGAAAGCTATGGCGACGAAGGCCAGGGGGCCGTGAAGCTTATTGACGCAGCATACGGCTATCTTCAATCCCACACAAAGGTATGCGTGCACGTTTGTGGCTGCTTGTGGCTGTGTTTGCTTGCAGGCATGCGTGCGTGCGTGGTGCTTATGCATTCGTTTGAAGGAGATGAACGAGGTGTTGTTAAGCCTCTCATCCCCCAACACACACACACACACACACACACTGTGCAGGTGCTGGAGCAGTTTGGACGATATCCGCATCGGAACAAGGCCCTGGGCCGTGAGACAACGGCGGAGGAAGCAAAGTACCTGGAGACAGCAGAGACGTGGGGCCAGTGACACGTGTGTGTGTGTGTGTGTTGAGGGGGGGGGGGGCAAAACACGAAAGAGGGCAGGGGCTTACTCCAATCATAAACGACGCTGACAACACCTCCCAGAAGCAACGAATCGATGATGATGATGACGATGAATGGTCGTGGTTGTGGTGTTGCTGTGCTGGCGCAGCGTGCGCGGAGAGCTCTGGGGCTGGGGTCGTGTCGTCGCCACGCGCATGCGGCGAGCGCCAGTGGAGACAGCCGCAAGGTGTATGTGGGCGGAGCTGGCGTTGTGCCCGTGACGCGGCAGCAGGATGTGACACTGGAGCAGATGGGAGCGCAGGCGGTGAGGGCGGCACTGGCCGATGCAGACATGGACCCCAAGAGTGTGCAAGCGGTGTTTGTCGGTAACATGATGTCTGGCATGCTGTCCAAGCAGCAGCACCTTGGCCCGCTCATCGCCAACGCTGCGGGCCTCGACCTCGTGGAAGCGTCCACCACAGAGGTGTGTGTGTGTGTGTGTGTGTGTGTGTGTGTGTGTGTGTGTGTGTGTGTGTGTGTGTGTGTGTGTGTGTGTGTGTGTGTGTGTGTGTGTGTGTGTGTGTGTGTGTGTGTGTGTGTGTGTGTGTGTGTGTGTGTGTGTGTGTGTGACGCTTGGCCACAGCTTGCTGTACACACACTTCCGAGATGCTGTATTGTCATGTCGTTGTTCATTTCATTTCGCTTCACCCACAATGGATACCAGGCGTGCTGCGGTGCTGGTGGGGCAGCGTTGCGCATGGCCTATCTGGCCGTCATGAGTGGTGAGCTGGAGACCGTTGCCGTGGTTGGCACCGAGCTCATGACGCACGCAGATCGCGAGACCATCACAGAGGCGTACGTCCAACTGCTCGCCTGTGTGTGTGTGTGTGTGTGTGTGTGTGTGTGTGTGTGTGTGTGTGTGTGTGTGTGTGTGTGTGTGTGTGTGTGTGTGTGTGTGTGTGTGTGTCGCTGTTTCATGTACCTTCGCGTGTATGTGTGCTTGTATCAGGGAGGGCAGGTACGCATCAATGACTGATCATCTCAACACTGATGATTGCACAGGTTGGCAACCGCGTCTCACTGGGCGACCGAGGGAGCAAAGGGGGAGACATTCGTGTCCCTCAATGGCAAGCTGATGGCAGAGTACATGCGGCGGTACAACGTCCCCCACGCCAAGTTCTTTCCTTTTGCACAGGTTGCCCACAACAACGCCATGACAGCAGCCCATGCCGTCTTCCCAGACAAGCCGCTCACCCTCGACATGTACGAGAATGCGCCCGTCGTTACAGATCCAATCCAGGTGTGCACATATGTGTGTGTGTGTGCGTGTGTGTGTGTGTGTGTGTGTGTGTGTGTGTGCGTATGTACGTGTATGTCGCTGCATGTATGTACATGTGACTGTGTGTGTGTGTGTGTGTGTGTGTGTGTGTGTGTGTGTGTGTGTGTGTGTGTGTGTGTGTGTGTGCTCGTGTGCCTGTCTATACGTGCGTGGGTGCATCACTGCCACTGTACAACTGCCAACCTCCCCATAGTTGCCTCATATCAACCAACCAACCAACCAACCAACCGACCGACCAACCACCATGACCGTCGCGGCAGCTGTTTGACGCGTCCCCCACGTGCGATGGCGCGGCGTGCGTGCTGCTCACGTCCAATCCGTCCCTCGCGGCGCGCGCTGGTGGGAAGCGCGTGCGTGTTGCCTCGTCTGCCGCAGCAACGGATATCCTCGCCGTTGCCATGCGCGAGGACCCGCTCCACCTCAGAGCCGTCGAGAAGAGCGCAATGGACGTGCGTGCACCCTTTTGTTTATTTGTCAGTGTGTGTGTTAACTTTGCGCATGTGTGTGTATGTGTTGAGTGTGAGTGTGTGTGTGTTGTGTGTCGCACGCACGCACGCACGCACAAGTACACACCCACACACACTCAACACATACACACACACATACACATCAGCACATGTGTCATCACCTTTCCATCTCAACTCTCACACCATTACCACCACATCACCACCGTCGTCTGCTGTCAGGCCATGTCCCGCGCTGGCGTGACGCATGCAGACATCGACATCTTCGAACTCCACGACGCATACACCAGCATGGCCTGCCTCGCTTTGGAGGTGCGTGAGTGTTGCGTGGTTGTTTGTTCACGTGCATGCATATGCGTGCATGTAAGTGCGGGGAGATCAGAAGGCTCCGTGCCTCCCCCTCCCCTAAACTCTGTGTCACACCCCTCCCCTCTCTCCCTGTCTCCTCATGCCAACCTCTCCTCCTGCCCATCGTTCATACCGTCCCCCCTCTCTTCCCCTCGCCTCGTCGCAAACACAGAACGCGGGGTTTGTTCCACACGGGGAAGGTGTTGAGTTTGCTGCGGACGGGCACATTTCGCTGGACGGGCAGTTGCCCATTGCCACGTTTGGCGGTCTCAAGGCCCGCGGCCACCCCGTGAGTCACCTGTGGTGGTGGTTGGTTGATTGTTTGGTTGGTGGTGTGGTGGTTGGTTGATTGTTTGGTTGGTTGGTTTGTGTTGTTGGGTGTTGTGAAAGTGGACGTGGTAGTGGTGGTGCTTGGTGGCGGCATGTTGTGTGGCTGGACAGGTGGTGCTGGGAGGTTGCAGTGTTCTGCCGATTGGCGAGGAAGGCGATGGCACGCCTCCTTGACGCTTTCCATGTCATGCCAGTTGTACCAGTTCCCTCAAACACACACACACACACATGCACACACACACACGCGCACACATACATGCACACAGGTGGGTGCGACGGGTGTGTATCAGGCGGCGGAGATGTTCATGCAGCTGAACGGCACTGCAGGCATGAACCAGGTTCCCAACACGGAGGTCAGTATGTGCTGGCAAACACCCTTGCTGTTGTCGCTGCGGCTTGGACCTTCTCATGCACAATCACCGCTCACGTGTTCACACACACACACACACACACACACACACACACACACACACACACACACACACACACACACACACACACACACACACACACACACACACACACACACACACACACACACACACACACACACACACACACACAGATACTACTGGAAGGAGAGTGAATGGGTCCGTTTATGCGAATGAATGAATGAATGTTTGTTGATTGGAAGAAAGCAACGACCTCTCGCACATAATGCGGGAGAGGAGGAATATGAAATGAAGAACAACACTCATAAGTGGGCGGGCAAGGTGCTGCTTCCCCTCATGTCAAACAGGCAAGGCACGTGGCTACCAAACAGTCCATCCGGATCTAACGCTTCAGCTCCATCGCCCAGTAGCAAGCAGTTTCTGCACAAATGTTGTAACTCGCATCACACCACCACACTAGAAGATATGTTCTGAACGTCTCGCCCATGAAACCACACACATACACATACACATACACATATACACATACACATATACACACACACTCACACACACACACTCTCTCTATCCCCCGCAACTCAGACAATGTTGTAGTAGATGATGAAGAAGAGGGCGATGAGGAAGATGAAGAAACATGTGAAGCGAATGATGGCTCGTCTCCGCCTCGCGTAGTCTGTGCGGACAATGACGGCGCCTGCAGGCGGATATTGCGAAGGCAGTCGCTGGTATCCGCGCGGCGCACGGCTCGTGTAAGGGCCTGCCTGCGAGGGTGCCGGTGGATAGTGGGATGTGATCACAGCGCCACTGTGCGGCGGCGTGGTGGAGAAGCCCGCTGTCGACTGACTGTACGAAGGCGGGTTTGGAGGTGGCACAGGGCCAGGCATGTACTGCGGTTGTTGGTGTTGTTGTTGCTGTTGTTGTTGTTGTGCAGCAGGTGGGGGGTATTGTGCCTGCGGCACAGTCGGTGGTTGCACTGGCTGCTGTGGTGGTGGCGCAGATGCCACTGCGCTTTCGTACGAGGGCGGTGGTGGTGCGCTCATCTTCCCCGATCCCGCTTTGGCTGTGCTTCTGTTGAGCGTGCCTGCTTCTTGCCTCTTGTGGTTGTGTGTCGTTGTCGTGTGGCTGGAGAGTGAATGACTCATCGCGAGCGGCATGGGTCTATTGTGTGCAATTTCGCCAAACCCGCACCACACCACACCACGACGAAAGCAAAACGCGTTCGCACTCCACCCTGCATCCGTGCCAACGAAAGAACATGGCAACCTACGGGGCACAAGCCATGCACAAGCCTACAAGTGCCGAGCACCAGCGTCAGCACACGTCCACTTCCCCCATTGTTTGCAAATGCGCTTTCTTCCATACCACATACACACACACACACACACAAACTCGTTCGTCACACAGTAGGACTGGGGGAAAGGGAAGGACAAGGCTGGAAAGTGGGAAAGTCCACGTTTGGACCTTAGGACAAAATGTTCAAAGGTTCAATGACAAATGAAGACCTCTCTTCAGCAGAACAGAACACAGGGAGGTTAAGAGAACCATGTGCTCATTCATTCAGGCAAGCAAGCAAGCATGTGCGTGACGTGAGTGAGTTGCACGAAAAAAGGTGGCAAGCAAGTGAAGAAGTGACACGCGTGCAAGCTGTGGAGTGGAGAAGCCTCTAGTCTCTTTCACCAGCCAGCGTACATCAGTACAAGAATGAGCCCTGACACACACACACACACACACACACAGATTGAACAAGTTGAGGGCTTGAGGGATGACAACAGAGTCTTTCTGGGAGCCTGAGCACGTTGATGCAAGCAAGCAAGTAAGCGACAAACAGACCAACAACAACAACTGAGACAACAACAACAACTGAGACAACAACAGCAACAACAACAACAACAACAACAACAACAACAACAACAACAACCGCACAGCACATGTAGCTTGGTTGGTGAAGTATGTATGAACAAAGCGGCGGCGAATAAGGGCAAGGTGCCAAGCGCTATGCAAACGTATGTACATTCAAGTCACAAGTCTCAATGCCCGTTAATCATGTCTGGGCCGCGTGGGCGTGCCGGGTAGAGTAAATTCAAACACCCTACTACCCTAACACCACACGGATGATGCAAAGACTAATACCCCGTGGGAGGCAGGCCTCACTGCTTCTCACGACGGTGGGGGCTGCGAGGGCTGGCTGGATGGGAACGTCGTTGGTGGTACACCGTCACAGGGCCGCGGGGTCGCCGATATGGCTGTGGCGGTGGTGGCTGTTGTTGTAGTAGGAGCAGGCGCCAGTGTCGTTGCAGGCGAGAACAGCGATGAGTGTGATGGCATCGGAAGGCCAAGTGCGGTGGACACTTGGAACGGAACATATGCCAGAGGGTTCATGGCCGCAGTTGTGCTTGGCGTGAAGCTGCCTGCAGGCATGAACATGAACGGTGGCGGTGCCGTGGTACTGCTACTGCCAGCCGCAATCCCTGCTGTCGAGGACTGGGGTGTTGCTGGTGGAGCGGGCCCTGGCGGTGTCTGCATCTGCTGGCCCTGCTGTGTCTCGGGTGTGGGCTGCATGAGCATGGCGTTCTGCAGCGGCAGCTGGTACGCGTACAAGTATGGCGGCACTGGCATCGCCGTGGGGTCATATCCGCCTGCATATGTGGGAAGAACGTATGGCATTGCCAGCGCTCCGCCAGGAAGAAACGACGCAGACGGCAGCGAAGGGGAAGAGCCCACCATGGCCATCGTGGGCGCGTACGTGGCAAACGGTGTCACTGGTGCTGATGCGCTCGTCAGTGCTGCCGTTGTCGGTGTTATTGTTAACCCCGTCGTTGCTGTTGCTGTTGGTGGCGTTGTCGTTGCTACTGCAGGCAAGCCTTGAAAAGCGCCCATCGGCCAACCGGTCGGTGTTGAGGCAAACGTTATGCCCGTGTTATCACCGCCCCGCGCCATCTGCTCTTGCCGCTCATTTTCCTGCTGCTGCTGCTGCTGTGCTTGCTGTTGGACCCATGCCAGTGTTCGCGCCATGCTCCGCTCCGCCTGTGGCGATGCGTGGCGGTGGCGACGCGTGTGTGTCGCTGCTGACGAAGGTCCTGCCGCCTTGCCTCTGCGCCGACGCGGGCTCTCGTCGTGCTGTCGGTGTGCAGCCCGCCCCTTGCCCTCCTTTCGGTTCTTTTCCTCAACTTCTTCGTTCGCGTTTGCCTTCTTCTCCGTCTTCTTCTCAATCTGCCTTTCTCCTTGGGCGAGTGAGCTCGCTTCTTTGGCAGTGACCATGTCACCACCGGCTTTTCCTTCTGCTCCCCGTTCTACCCGATTGACACCACGACCACCACGACCACCACGACCACCATCAACATCTCCCACGCCACTGCCTGCGTCACGTGCTTCAGTCGTCTGTCCCTGTCTTCCCCCGCTGTGTCCCTCGCGTTGCTGCGCCTGCTCCTGTGCCGGCGTTGCGCTCGCTTTCCGCTTCCGCCGCCCCGTCTTGGCCTTTGGCGGCTCACTTTTCGCATCATCATCATCATCATCATCATCATCATCATCATCATCATCATCATCATCATCATCATCATCATCATCATCATCATCATCATCATCATCATCACTACCAGCATCGTCCAGCCGCTCCACATCCTTCACATCCCCATCACCCCCGCCCTCCCGCTCGCCATCGCTAGCGGCCGACTGCTGCTGCCTCCTCCTCCTCTCGCGGATCTTCGCTGCCCGCTTCAGGCCCGTTCGTAGCTGGCCCGTGGAGTTGAGGTGACACAGCAGCGCAAATTGCCGTTTCAGCTCCGACGCAAGCATGCGCGCTTGCACCTTCAGCTCTGCATTGCGCTGGGCAACAGCCTGCATGCAATGCTGCATGCCCTGTTTTCGCTTCCGCAGCAGCTGCCGGTGCCGCTGTGCCGCCTTGCGGTTTAATTCACGCATCCTCTGCTGCTGGTCCTGGGGCAGCTCGCCCATACGCCGCCGGGACCGCCGCCTGCTGTTGCCCGAGCGGCCGTGCTGGGCGTGTGCGGTGTTGTCTGCTGACGGAGTCGGTGATGTCACGGTAGAGGTGCGGGAGAGCGCAGATGCGTGTGCGTCGTGGCTGAGCATGCTGCCCACGTCTTGGCTGCTCGTGTATCCGCCGCCATGGTCTGTCCAGCTTTCATCCCCGGTCGTCACGTCACCGTCGTCTGCCGCTGCGTCCATCTGCAAGGGCGCCATCGCACCGCCCCCACCGCGGGGTGCAATTCTGTGGCCCAAGCCCCTTACCGCTGATGGCTGGGCTGTCCTTCTTCCACCGCGATCCAGTTCATTCCTCACGTTTTCTTCGTCCACCTCCTCCTTCGCCTTCACCTCTTGCGCAAACTCTGGGCCGAGCTTCCGCCGTCTGCTGTGCAAACCACCTCGTCGCTGACGACCGCTACCATCATCTTCGCCGTTGTCGTCGTCACCATCATCGTCATCGTCATCGCCTTGCTGCTTGATGGCCTCAAACAAGAGATCCATCGGGGAGCGAACTTGCACAGGTGGTGCTGGCGCTGGTGTTGGCGAGCGTACGTCCTCTTGTTTAGAAGTGGCCGACTGGGGTTGTTGTTGTTGTTGTTGTTGTTGTTGTTGTTGTTGTTGTTGTTGTTGTTGTTGTTGTTGTTGTTGTTGTTGTTGTTGAGACACAGTCGGTGATGCGGTCACTTGGGCTGGCGAGCGCATCCTCGCTGGTACGCGTAAGGTAGGTGCTGTGGTTTCTGGTTGTGGCTGGGGCAGACTGTTCTTCTGCTTCTGCTGCTTCTGCTTCTGCTGCTCATGGGATGCCGTCTGTGTTCGACGCGTGTCCTTGCGAGTGCCCTGCTCACGGGGTCCCGCTACCCCACTAGAGGTCGTGCTCGCATCCATCTGTTGCTGCTGCTGGGATTTGGTTGAAGGGTGGGGTGCTTGAGGGGACGACGGTGTTGGTGGCGTGGACGGCACTGTGCGGGGCGAGGGCGGGCACTGGCGCCGAGACAGCGGCACTGCGGAGAGATGTGAGCGGAGGAGTGATCGTGTGCCCATTGGCAGACGCATTGCTGCCTTGTGAGGCGTGCGCACGCCGGTGAAGGGCGCGTGTGACTGCGGTGTAACCACCACAAGCACGGGGTGGTGTGGTTGGTGATTGCAGCTGCCATGATGGCCATGATGGCCATGCTTGGACTGGTGGGTGTGGGCAGGTGGCGGCATTGTCGAGATGCGGGGAATGCTTGTTTGGTGCGTATTCACCGTGCTGTTTTCGACATTGTTCAGGGCGTGCTGCTGCTGCGTGTGTGGTGCCAGAGCAGCAGCACGCATCTTCTTCGTTGCCGGTGTCGCTGTCCCCACCGCTGCCGCTGTCATTGCGGGCGTGGGTGCCGCAGCGGTTGTGCTGAGTTGCTGTGCAGCAGGGGAGCTGTCGATGGCATCCGCGCGTGTGCGTGCGCGTGTGAGCAGCGACAGCACGTCGCGTTCATCGTCGAGCTGGGTGTCCTCGCTGGGCAGGCCGCCCGTGAGAGCACTGCCGTTGTTGTGTTGGGACTGCGTGTCACTGCCATCCTCGTCCGAGACCTCTGTTGAGGTGGTGGAGGTGTGGTTGCTGTGCTGGCCTCGCTGTTGTGCCTGGCCCCGGCCTTGTTGCTGGGCCGGTTGTTGTTGTCGTTGGTCGGGTGGTGCTTGGTCGGTTGGGGGAGCGTCAATGTTGCGGGCGGTTTTTGACGGGTTGCGGCGTGCACTGAGTGTTGTGGGATTGGCACGAAGCAAGGGCAGGCGAGGGCGTGTGTGCGCGTGTGCATCGCGGCTGTCGATGGGGACCTTGATGCGCTCCTCACGCAAGGGCACTGGTGACAAGGGTGTCGCTGAGTTTGTGACCACTGGCTTGGACACTGCATCGGGTGGCTGAACATCGTCAACGCTCTGCTGTTGCCCCTGTTGCTGCAGTATTTTGTGTTGTTGCTGCTGCTGTTGATGTTGATGCTGTTGTTGTTGCTGCTGTTGTTGTCGCCATGAGAGGTCAGGCACAGACACAGGCACGAGTGACTGGTGCTGTGGTGGCGTCGTGGACATGCTCATATACGTGTGTGACTGGACGATGACTCGAGGGCTTGGGAGTACTGCCGAGCCTGCGTGGGCGCCGCCATGCACTTGTTCTTCTTTTCTTGGGAGGTGATGGCGATATTGGAGGCGTGAGGGAAGGTGAAGAGGGGGAGAGCGCAAGCTGCGTGCGTGTGTGGCGTGCGTGTGTGGGTGTGATGGCGGGGTGTGGTATGATCGGGTGGGCGTTGACGTCGTCCGATGGTGCAAGGTTGGAAGTGGTGGCAACTTGCGCCGGGGGCGAGGAAGGATGGAAGTAGGCGGTGGTTTGGGTTGGCCGTGGACCGTGAAGAAAGGGAGACACGGGAGAGAGCGGCGGCCCTGGTGCTGCTGCTCGAAAGAATAAGGTTGATGTGGAGGGAGGTGCAGTGGGTGCAGGCAGGGGCAAAGATGAGGACAGCCAGAGGCAAGGAGCAAAGAAGGGCCGAATGAAGCAAGCGACACAGTCGGCACTTTTTGTTTGGCTGTTTGGGGTTGACGGTGGGTGGCTGCCGTGTGAATGAGAACAAAAGAAGCGGGGTGTGCTGTGGCAGAGGAGGCGAAGTAATCAAGGGCGCAGGGGGGTGGCGGGCAAAGCACGAAAGCACGAAAGCACAAACCTAAATTGCGTTCTTGGTGTGAAAAAATGAAAGGGAAGGAGCAAAGCAAGAGAAATGGCTCTGCAGGCAGGCAGGCAGGCTATTGGCGCGCGTCCTTAGTGTTGCCTAGCAGAGGGAGAGAGAGTGTGTGTGTGCGATAGAGGCGCTGCCGATCTGATCTGAAGAGAGAAAGAAGCAAGCAGCTGACACGGGGAAGAGGGGAACGATTTGTGGTGCGCAAGCACAAGCTAAACACACGCGCGCGCGAGACAAGGCGAGAGCGATCACAGAAAGGGGTATGAGGAGGAGGAGGAGGAAGGCGGGAGGTAGGGAGGTCTGAATCAGTTAGTTTGCGAGTAAAGGTGTTGTGTTGTGTGTTACTCTTGCAATTTGCCACAAGAGCGGGAAGAAAGCCAAGCACACCTGAGGACATGACGCATGCACAGCACACACAGAACGCGGCCCACGGCACACGGCAGCAGTGAAGTGGTCAAAGCAACGAAGCAAGAAGCAAGCAAGCAAGCGATCAAGCAAGCAAAGGCACCCACGCGCACACACGCGCACACGCAGTCGAAGCAAGAGGTAGCCCAGAAGCGGGCGGGCAAGAAAGCAGGACATGCAAGTGGTTGGGCGGTGTGTGAGAGCAGAAGGCAGGAAAAGGGGCGCAATGGGCGAGGAGGGGCATTACCAAATCTCGTCATTACTTCGTCAAACAAAACATCGCGGATGCATGGATGAATGCACACGCATAAGTGCAACAGGTGCTTTCGCTTTCGCGCATGTGTCATGCCCGTGCGAAGCGGGACAATCATGAGCAACCACCGCATGCAACTACGTACCTCCTGGTGGCCTTGTCAGTGAATGGTCGGGACAGGCGACAGGTTCGATCCGTGAGCGAAGGCAAAGAAGCCGCAGAAGCACGCGAGAGGGATCGCGAAGAAGCAACGAGAGTGACCACCCCCACCTTCACACCACACCAGTCCCTGCCGGTTGTCGTCACTGCCATGTGTTGCGCTGGTCCAAGAACAGGTCTCGCTTGCACAAACGCCACCCGCCCTGCTTTCTCGAAGCAACCTCGTATGTCAATAGGTCAGTGTCGGGTGTGTGTATGTGTATGTGCGTGTGTTTTGTGTGTGCCTTCCAGCCAGCCACCTCAAGAAGTGCATCGCTTTCATCACGCAACATGCGGCATTGCTTCTGACGCCCTCTCTTCTCACACCTAAACGTGTGCTTGATGGCTCGTGTGCGCGTTTTCCACGGTTTTGCTTGCGTCATGATTGCAGAGAATCACTGTATGTTATTAACGAATTGTCCGCAAGTCAGCCGTGTGCAAGATTGGTCTGGTTGTGAGGCAAAAGTGTGGTGTTGCCAGGTGTGGTTTTGTGTGTCGTGTGTCGTGGTGTTGTGTGTGGTTTTGTGTGTCGTGTGTCGTGTGCTCTGTGTGCTCTGTGTGTGTGTGTGTGTGTGTGTATGTGTGTGTGTGTGTATGTGTGGGTGTGGGTGTGTGGTGCTGTGTGGTGCTGTGTGGTGTGTGTGTGTGTGTGTGTCGCTGTGTGGCGTGCATGTGTGTGTGTGTCGCTGTGTAGTGTGTGTGTGTCGAGGAGGACAATGTGCCGATCATGTGCTGGTGTGCGAGTTGTCTTCCTGGGTGGGTCGAAAGGCCTGAAACTCGTGCATGTATGTGATGCTGGAGGCCAACCGCTCCCACAGATTGAACAGCGCCACAATGTCGTTGCGGCCGAGCTCAAACGCAACCTGATCCGAGCTAATCTTGTTCCCCAGCAACAAGCGCACCGCCGTCGCCAGCCCTCGCGTCTGAACGCGGCCATATGATGTGTGAGTGTGTGTGTGTGTGTGTGTGTGCGTGCGTGTGTGTGTGTGTGTGTGTGTGTGTGTGTGTGTGTGTGTGTGTGTGGTGTGTGTGTGTGTTCGTGTGTGAGTATGTGCGTGTGTGGGTGTGTGTTGGCGGGGGGAAATGGTACAACACCAGTTCAAGGCATACAAGTCGCAAGAAGCGGTACACCCCCCCTCCTCCTCTCCAACACGCACACACATACATACGTCCATGCACACACATACGCACACACACACACACACCTGTAGTTTGCCCCAGAGACGGCACTTGTGACAGCCGACGCAGTTCATAATCTCGGTAATCTGGCGAAGGTGCTCACGCATCTCCTCCAGCACATCCTTGCGGTCTGGTGTCTGGAACAACACCTCCTCATCCACAGCCATATCACAGTACAGCTTGGCTTGGTCCACAAGCTCCAGAACAGCCGCCTTGGTGGTCGCGTCATCCGCAGCGTCGCCCGACGGGAACGGGTACGACCGCCACAGGTTCTCCGCCTTGACAATGGCCTTGAGCACTGTTAGGTAGGTGAAGTACAGGTTCTTCAGCCAGCGCGTGCCCTGCCCGCCCGTCGTGCTGTCGCTGAAGCGCCGACGGAATTCGGTGATGTTCGGTCGAAACTCCCCCGTCTGCTGGTCCAGCCACTTGTACGACAGATGCACGCTGATGGACGCGTGCACCCCGGAGAGAAGCCGATAGAAGAAGCGCTCCTCCAGACACAGCGAGTCCATGTCCACATCGTAGCGGCTGTTGCCACTGCCACTCGCACCCGCGCTCGTGTCAACACCAGCGCCCGCCTCAATGTCCATGTCCATATCCATGTCCACGTTCATGTCCATATCCATGTCCACGTTCATACCCGGGCCACCGACCAAGTCGTGGAAGAAGTTGTCGTGGTTGCTCTGCGCCTGGAAGCAGTTGCTGCTGTAGACGGTATCCCAGATGCGCCGCGCCGCGGGGCCGCTGTACCCCGTGAACCGCTCCGGGTTGTCCAGCAGGTTCACCCACTGCATCTCCTCCTGTGGATACACAAGCTCGTCGGCGACGCAGAAGTTGCTGCGATCAAGCATGTCGCGGCGCTGCTCCCCTTGCAGCACAGACAGCTGCCGCGCCGTCACCGTGTCGTTGATGGCGTTCAGGTCCAGGCAGCTGTAGTTGGCGTACGACACCACCGCCGGCTCCGTCTCGAACGAGGTAAACGGCGTCGTGTCTTCGCACGCCTGCACCGCGCAGTTGGGCGACGTGCACAGGCTGTCGTCATCGCCCCACACGGTGCAGGGGCCGTGCAGGTTGACGTAGAAGAACTTGAAGAACGGCCGTGCCACCAGCGCACGCAGCTTGGGGAAGAAGTGCTCCGTGTTGAACGCGTTCACAGCCTCCACCGTGCACAGGCAGTCGTCCACAGCACCGCACACCTCGCACTCGTCCGTGAACGTAAAGTCACACGTGTCAGACGTGGCCGTCGGTGACTTGGTGCGCCCTTTTGTTTCTTGTGCTTGTGCTTGCGCTGGCTCTTCCTCTTCTTCTTGCTGCTGTTGCTGTTGCCGTGGCTGCTGATCTTCTTTTCGTTGTCGTTGTTGTTGCTCAGCTTCACCCAAAGTCGTGTGCACGTGCTGCCGCTGCTGCTGCCGCTGCTGCTGCTGCTGCTGTTGTTGTGAATGGGGAGGGTGCGGAAGCAGCGAACTCGTGGAGAAGGGCCGCAGCCACGTGGCTACGGATGCACCGGTGCTCTCGGACGAGAAGACAACCGCAGCCCCAATTACAGTTGTAACAAGCACCAACGCAATCATGCACACAGCCCGGCCATTGCCACTCCCACTACTGCTGGCCCTGTTTGGTGTCCTTGCGCCCGCTCCAGCAACCTTGTCGGCCCCTTGCTGCGGCTGCGGCTGCGTCTGCGTCTGCGTCTGCGCTGGCACGTCCTTCTTCCTCCTCATCGTCGTCGCCATGCTGTTGTTGTGTTGTTGTTGTGATGAACGAAAACGCTTCGTCAGCCAAATAAATGCAAGCAGCGTCTCTTCTTGCTTGCCACGTCAGATTTTGGCGTGTGAGTGCGGTGTGTGTGTGTGTGTGTGTGTGTGTGTGTGTGTGTGTGTGTGTGTGTGTGTGTGTGTGTGTGTGTGCGCGCGCGAATGACACCGTGTATGTGTGCTTGGCCCTTCACTCGCTTGCGTTCATCCACATCAGCCAGTCGGCGCGTGCACCTCCAAGCAGTCAATGCAATCAATCGATGGAACCATTCAACAAACAAAACAAAAGGGAGGAAAGAAAGCAGTGCAAACTGCCACCATGGCACTGTACGGCCCACGGAATACTACAGGATGCTGTGCTGCCCCCCACAAGAGCACAACATGCCCACACATGCAAACAAGCAAGCAAACAAGCGAACATCCACAAGGCAAAGGGGAGCTTTCTGGGTGCACGGAGCACACCATGTGCGGGTGGAGAAAAGCAAGGAAGCAAGCACACAAGCAGCAAGCGAGACACAGCAAGCAAGGACTGGTGGTGGGAGCATATTGACAAATCAACAAGAGAGCCGGCCACAAAGGAAGGCGTAAAGTGCGGGCAATACAGAGAATTGGAGGAAGAACCGAAAGCAGAAAGGAAGAGCGCCATTCATGGCGCGGATAACACAGCAAAAACACCAAAAGGAAAGCCAAGGCCACAATGAAGTGGGAGGGAGGGTCAACCAGAGCACCACCACCATGACGACGACCGCCACCACCGCTATCATCACCATCATTCCGGAAAGAAGCGTGATGCGTGCGCAGCCAAGTGGTGGCCACACAGCGCACAGAAATCAGCATATCACCATCACACAAATATGTACACTCGATCGCACACTCGCACACAAAGCAAAGCAGCGCGGCAGTGCGCATGCTCACAATGGCACACGCAGACTGCTCACACGCTTCCCGCAAGTACACAGCTGGAGGACCACGCCTAGAGCTGGGTGCTGCGCTTAGGGCTCCTCAAGGCCTCATTTCTGGACCCAAGCTTGGAAGCACCACCACCAACGCCGTTGTTGTTGCTGCTGCTGCTACCGCTTGTTGTGGCGAGGAAGTCGCCGGCAGGTCCCACATGTTCTGCTGGCTTCTGGTGGTTGTGTTCCTGCAGTGGGCCAAGTGCCTCCTGAGGAGCGTGAGTGTGTGTGCGTGGGTGAGTGAGTACGTGTGTGTGAGTGAGTGAGAGAGTGTGTGTGTGTGAGTGAGTGAGTGTGTGTGAGTTAGTGTGTGTGCGTGGGTGAGTGAGTATGTGTGTGTGAGTGAGTGAGAGAGAGAGTGTGTGTGGATGGGTGCGGCTTGCAAAAAAGAGAACATCGAGAAGTGCACGCGCGCGCGTGTGTGTGTGCGAACAGAGAGGAAAGGCGACATTCATTGCGGCAGCATATCGAGGCATGATTCATCCGATGCAAACACGAAAGAACATGCTCGATGCAAGCGATCAACAGGAGCATGAATTGGCCTTCCACTCACATGAGACTGTTGCTGCTGATGTTGTTGGTGTTGCGAATGATGGTGCTTGCTGCTGTGTCCACGCTGGGATGTTCGCAGCGTCTTGGACGCCCGCTTCACAATGTTCTGTGTGTGAAGGTTGCATATTGTACAATGTCAAACGAAGGGAAGTGATGTGAGAACAGCGCCAAGAAGCTTCCGTGGTGATGCAGTGGCGCGAAAGGAAAAAAAAATCTTTGCTTGAAGCGTTACAGACACAACATACCCACACACACACACCCACCCACACGCACGCACACGCGTACCCGAAGAAGACGGCCGCCGAGAGAAGAGCGGAGGAAGCTGTCGTGGGGCTTGTGTGGCGCAAGGTTCTCCGTGGAAGCACAATCCTTGAACGAAACGCCCTGCATGAAACGTGACCCGCGTGCACCGGCCTGCACCGTGTTGGAGGAGAACCGGCGTCCGCCAAGCGTCTTGTGGCGGGCGTCAAACTGCGAGATGGTGTTGCTGCGGGCGCGCATGCGAGACAGGAGGTCCTGGCCTGCGTCCGCAAGGCCACCAAAGGCCGCCTTGGTCGCCGACCGTGGTGTCTTGGCCACGTGCTTCTTTGCGGCAGGCGTGTTCTCCTCCCCAAACGTGCACCGCTGGCGCGACGACTGCTCCACAGCCTCTGCGTGGCGGCACTGCTCCTCATCGCCTTGCATCTCCTGCAGTGCATTGCACCCACGACACGTGTACCGGCATGACAACTCGTCAGCATGTGCAGTGTGAATGTTGCAACAAGGCAGCATAATCGCGAGCGAGCGAGAAATGCGAGCAAAAGATAAAGTATGACGTGTGCTCGAATAATTCGGCAAACGCTGTCACATCGTCACGTGTTTGCATCATGTACGCATGCACGCATGCATGGCAACATGTGTATGCGCCAACCCACACAAAACACAAGGTCAGTTACGCGTACAGCATACTTACAGGCGTGAGTCGGCCGGTTAGGTTGCGCACAGCTTGGCGGGCAGCCTGTAGGAATGCACGCTTGCTGCCCTCATCCATAAACTGCAACCAAGCGACGTTTGAATATGAGCGGGTCGGCAAAACAGCACAACTTTGTCGAGCGTGGGCATTCAACAGGTATGCCCTCGTAGAACACTCGCACATGCACACACGCACACATTAATCACTCACACATGCACACACGCACACATGCAAACATTAAGCACACGCACACAGCCGCAACACAGCGTGATGCACTCACGCGGTAGTAGGCGTGGCTGTCGTAGCCCTTCTTGTTTCGGGAACTGCGCTGGGAGGAGGCGGCAGAGGAAGCCGTGGACGACGACGACGACGACAACAACAAAGTCGGCGGCTGAGCTGTGGCGCATACGGAAGTGGAAGTGGAGGAGGAGGAGGCGGAAGAGGAGGAGGAGGAGGAGGAGGAGGGGCCAGTTGTTGATGAGGCTGATGTCTCTTGGCGAATGTTGCTGGTGTGCGCGGTGCGCGTCCTGTTCGGCAGTAGCGTGTCCTGCGGGTTGTAGCGCACGCAGATGGATTGATCCTGCATCCCAACAAGGGCAGGCGAGATGTGTTAAGTTGATACGTGGCGCGCACACTTCAACGCATGAGCTGTGGTCGCTGGTGAAATGTGGACAATCATCACAACAAACTCGCAAGTGCACAGCGCGCATTAGCGTCACCGACCAGGATTGCACCGTCGACGGTTCGTGCTTCCATCACGTCGTGGATGGATGTCGATTTGAGGTGATGAGCCTGTGCAAGCGCATGCGTGTGCGCGTATATGTGTGTGAGTGTGTGTTGTGTCAGTGCGTGAGTGTGAGTGTGAGTGTGTGTGTGCGTGAGTGTGAGTGTGTGAGTGTGAGTGCGTGAGTGTGAGTGTGAGTGTGAGTGTGAGTGTGTGAGTGTGTGAGTGTGAGTGTGTGAGTGTGAGTGTGTGAGTGAGGGTATGCATGTGTGCGTGTGTGAGTATGTGAGTATGTGAGTGTGAGTGAGTGTGTGTGTGCATGCAACACCTGTAGTCAGCTCAAGCAACATTAATTAGTTTTGGAATACTGTTCATCATCAAGCACGCGTGTGTACGCACACGTGTGCATGGTGCAAGAAGCGAGCGTGCCCACAAATCAGTTTGTGCCGTGCGCTCACCGTGACAAATTGAAAGTCCTTGCGACGGTTGCGTCCAAATGTAAACGTTTGGCGCCATTCAATCTTCTTCGACTGTCCGCGCACAACAACCAAGCTGGCAGTTGGCAGTGGAGTCAAACATGACCGCAGAGGGGGAGCAGGGAACAGTGGGGTTTGGGCGCCGCAACGTTTCTTGCGTGTGAGACATCAGCGGCTGCACGTGGTTTTCTCTTATATCAATCGCACATCAAGCCTTCTTATCTCCAACTGTGTCTGCCTTCTCGTGGATTGTACGCCTCCACACATACACGCACATGCGCACTTGCCACAGCTGCACTTACTGGTCGGTGAGAAGGATGAGCATGACTGTGTCCTTGCGATTCGCACACGAGACAACCTCCTCCATGGCGACACATGCGCGGCGCGCGCTGTACAACTCAGGCTGCATCGGAGACACAGAACAACATCACGTGTTCTCGTTAGCACAAGTGTTGGTAATGATAGACAACGAGGGTAGCAGATGATGCTTTAACAATTGCAACAAAACAGCAAGAACAACAGTGGCTGGTGCCTAGACACCAGTGAAGCGGGTGAGCACACGCAAACCTCAGCATGCACAGCGACGCACGCAAAGCACACACACACACACACACACACACACACACACACACACACACACACACACACACACACACACACACACACACACACCGGAAAGTCTTCAATCATGTGAAGGGTGAGCTGGAAGTTAACCAGCTCCTCGTGAACACGCTTAGTCTCATCCGTGTCCCTGCACGTTGATACGAAGTGCCAAACGACGAGTTTGTGAAAAACAGAGGCATATGTGACAGTGGTTGCAGCAGCAACAACAACAACGACCACGGTCACAACAACGAGATGTGTGTGTTGCGTATTGCGTGTTGGTGCGAGAAATCCGTGCACTTACTGCACGATGGTGCGGAAGCATTCTTGGACTTCACGCAGGGGCAATGCATCCGGGTGGTTCTCTGGCGTGTTCTTGATAATCTCTGTGTGTGCGTTTAAGGAAGCAGTGTGCGTGCGTGTGTGCATGGAGACAATACTGACAACGTGAGCACAGCTGTGCCATTGTTTGTGCATGTATATTGGACACACACAGACACACACAGACACACACAGACACACACAGACACACACAGACACACACAGAAACATAGAGACACAGACAGACACACAGAGACACAGACACAGAGACATAGACAAACACACGCACACACACACACTGACTTTCGAGGTGGAGGTTGTAGCGCATGATGTGTTGGACGGGTTCCATAAGCATGTCACGCAGCTGCTTGCGATCACAGCGCCTTTGAACAACCACGAATCACGTGGTGCATGGAGGTGAGCGCAATAAGTACAAGTGGATGAAACAAACAGGTACATTATTTGCACAGAGAGGGCCAGGTTCGCACACGCGTGCAAGCGCGAGCACTTCAAACGTCACATCAGCGGAACACACACACACACACACACACACACACACACACACATACACACACACACACACACATACAAATGGGCAAATACGGCCATGCATTCTGTGCTTACGGGTCTGCCTCTTGTTGGCGAATGAAGTGAGCAAACGTCTTGTTCTTCATCAGCTCCTTGAGCGCGGCCTGCGAGTCATCAGCCTGAGTGACCACACGCTGCAGAACCGCGTACGTACGATTGTGTGTGAGCGAAAGCCCAATAACCAAGCAGCTGCTCATACGTGTCAATGGCGCACCACCTCATTCGCGCAAATATTGCTGTCGCATGCGGGATAAACAACAAGCCCGGAAGCAACGACAAAACGAAGAACAACAACGACAAACCTTGTAAAGTGTCTGGTACTGCGTCATGCGCTCTCTGTGGAACACGTGCGAGATGATGGCCGGGTGTTCGCTCCAATTGTCAAGCTGCTCCTTTAGATCCTTTGCAACAGACCTGCAGCCAGGGTGCGAGGCCATGGCAGCAAAGTGAGGTCAGGTGAAAATACCCTACGCTGCCGCAAGCATGTGCACGCGTTGGGTTGCACTGCCACCGCACATGCATCAAGGCCACGCAGGCGGACATACACACGCACGCACACACGCACACACGCACACACGCACACACGCACACACGCACACACGCACACACGCACACACGCACACACGCACACACGCACCCTGCAAAGTCGCGGATCTTGGCGGTTGAGCGGAAGATGCGGTTGATGAAGCCTGCATCCGCTGGGTCCAGCTTGAGCGGCTTGTGGAAGAGCTGGCAGTGTCGACATCAATCGACAGCGCACCAACAATGCATGCAAGGGGCAGAGGGTGAGTGGGAATAATGGGGTGTGCGCACTGTCAATGACACCACTTCTGGCTCGCTACCACGTGTACGCTTCACAAGCTCGATTGGCTGGCGGTACAATGACAGGGCACACCCGCTCTGCATGCAGCGTCGTTCTAAACTGAAGGAAGGCCGACTCACCTCTTCAACGACGCCCATGATCCGGCTGACGTTTGCCTCGCACTTGTACAGCTCCATCACGTTGTTTTTGCGCGCAACGTCTGCACACGAGCAAGCAAATGGCATGTGGTGAGTGGGAGCGACAGCGTGCGAGAAACCCGAGCGAGACGATTCAACAAGCATCTCCACAACGCTGAGCAGCTAATGTTTCATTGCAGGACCCCTTGTGCACATGGAACAGCTGGTTCCACGTGCGCACATGCATTGCTGTAACCGCTTGCGGGACTGACCGAGGTCTGGTGCGGACTTGGCCTTGGCTTTGCTTCTACTGGCACGGGAAGCGACTGCCTTGGCTTTGAGCGAAAGCATTGGCGCCGACATGCCCCGCATGTCCTTGCTCATCCTACACGCGCGAGTGTCATGTGTACGCGTGGGCAGGTGTACGCGTGAGCGCGTGTGAGCAAGTGTATGCATGTGTGAATGTATGTGTACATGAAAGCGTGTGTGTATGTGCATGTATGTGCATATATGCAAACACAACCGTGTGACTTTGTCATGTTGTTGATAGAGGACATGTACGCAGCCGCAGATGTCCTGCAAAGTGGTGGTGGTGGTTGGGGGGGGGGGCTTGCGAGTGGGCCGCCAACCGTACTTTGCTGGAGAGGTTGGTGTCATGTGGGAGCCCTTCTTTGGCGTCTTGCGACGCGGCGTACCGTCCTCCGCCTCCATGTCTACATCGTCATCTGGAGACACAAATCACACGGTCGGAAGAAGATGGCGTTGTGCGTGTGAGGACAGAGTGCGCACTGAATATCAAGCTTTCACGGAGGAACATGGGTCCAGAGCAGCAGGCAACAATGTACACAGTGACACAGACGCAGAAAGACATCAGCATACACGAGCAGGTACGTGGGATAACAAACACACACGATAAAAAGAACAACCACCAAGCACACACACACACACACACACACACACACACCAAAGTCTTGGCCGCGGGTGGTGACAACGGAGGTGTTGACGTGCTTGCGTTTGCGAGACTCCGAGGCTGGCGAATCGGTAGCGATGGTGCTTGCACGATCACGCGGGCTCGTAGGTGTTGCGTTGCTGTTGTTCAGGAACATAATGACCTGGCAAGAGCCACACGGTGACGTGTAAAGGTTTTGCATGCAATGTGGGACAAGGCGGAATAATGTATCAGCTGCGAGGTGCAATGTACATGCGAATTCAAGGGAAGAGCAGTACCCGAGGTGAGTGATTGTGGTGGAAGGAAGCGTTTACAGCCGCAGTTCGTACCTTGTTGGAGTATGGCGAAGCAGGGGCAGGCCTGGTTGTGGACATGTGCATGTGTGTGGTGGATGTGTACGTGAGTGCATGCGTGTGTGCATATATGTGCGAAGTGCGTGTGTGCGTGTGTACCTTTGTGTGAGCATTCACGCGCAAACATAAACATGACGCGTTTGAGTGGAAGTGATAACACAACTCAATATGATGTGAAGGTGACATGACGCGATACTGCGTCGCTTGCGGCATCGACATTTTCGAGCACAAGCGCAACGCTCAAGCAAGTCATGCAGAGCAAAGCTTTCTTTCAACGTGCTCACCGCTGTGCTTGAGCCGGACGATGTGTGCCCTCATCCTGCCAGTTGCGTGTGCGCCAGCACTCCACGAGCCACTGCGAGGCCGCATGGGAGAGAGAAGGTGCGTGTGCACGCGTGTATTAGTGAGTCATGTGCAAGCACGTTTCTTGAAGAGTAAGCTTGACATTGTTGTTATTGGGCAAAGACAAATCAGGCACAGGTGGTGTTCTCTCTGCAGCTCCACAGACACACACAAACACACACAGACACACACAAACACACACAGACACACACAAACACACACAGACACATATACACGCACGCACGCACGCACGTACGCACGCACGCACGCACGCATACCGTGTGTTTGACGGGAATGGCACCGAGTTTCCTTGCTTGAGCACTCTCACCAGATCCGTCCAGCGTGTTGCAGATGAAGTGTGTAACCCTGTCGGTGATGGTGTTTTGTAAAAGGTTGGGGGAGGGGAGAAATTCAAGCAATAACAGTGATGGTGGTAAGCAAGGCATTACGGGATCCCGAGTGAGGAGGACGGAATCGTACGTACAGCTTGAAGACGTACGTATTTGTGTGCGTGTGTGCTTATTTGTCATCAGGCAGAGCTCAATCAATGCCCTACCCACCCACACCCACCCACACACACGCACATGCACACCCACCCACACACCCACACCCACCCACACACACGCACATGCACACCCACCCACACACACACGCACATGCACACCCACCCACACACACCCACCCACACACACACACACACACACACACACACACACACACACACACACACACCCACCCACACACACACACACACACACACACACACACACACACACACACACACACACACACACACACACACACACACACACACAAATTTTTCGATTGCGCGAGGACACGTACCCATGGTCAAGGGACGGTGCAACGTCTGCTCCAAGCTCCGACACCCAGGTTACAAGCTTCTGCTTGAGCGTCTCAGACACGCCTGTCATAGAAAGATACACGCGACAGCCCGCGAGTGGCGCTGTCTGGTGCTCCCGCGCATTCTGAAACGGATGACACCACAACAAACGGCCAAAGTGAGCGAAACAGCTGAAAGGAAAGGAAACAAGCGTGGTGCAAACAGGAGCGAAACGCAGAGCTGAACAGCGCTGTCGACCAACTCGCTGTCACAAACACAACAGCCGCCGTCGCAGATACGAGCACAAACACGCAAGCCGGGGCAGATCAACGCTCTTTGCCAGCAGCACGAATGATGAATGATCACGAACCGGGAAGGTGTAGCCGAGGGAGTCTGTGTACGCATGCCAGCAAGTGTGAATAAACTCTGGCTCAAACACGCGGCCAACGTGTGACCGCCTTGCTGTCTGCGATGCCTCGGATGTTGGTGGCGCAAAGATGACGCTTGCTTGCTTTGCTTCTGCAACAATGTCAGCGCCCATCCACTCCAGTCGCTGCAGGGCGGTGTGCTGCACAGGGGTACGTGCGTTGGTACATGCGTATGGCGTGTCGTATGCGTGTGAATGTCGTGTGTGTGTGTGTGTGTGTGTGTGTGTGTGTGTGTGTGTGTGTGTGTGTGTGTGTGTGTGTGTGTGTGTGTGTGTGAGTGTGTCCTGTCAGTTCTGGTGGGCGCTCATTCATGGTAATGTAGACACATGTTGGGCCATGTGCATGTGCGTGTACTGACACGTGAAGCAACACATTGCGGGCCACATCGTACCATGGCTGCTTCGTCTTCCATGGGTTCCAGGTACACTGTGAAGCGTGCAATGCCATCTGTAAACAGAGGCGCCACACCGTACACGACGCGTGGTAGAGACTCCCACTCCTAATACATGACAAGGCGGGATGCACGACAATGAGATGCATGACTCAGCTCGCGCCCACTCTGTGCTATTCTCATGGGCTTGCATACGCCAATACGAAAACAAGCACATGCAGAGGTGCGCGCGCACACACACACACACACACACACACACACACACACACACACACACACACACACACACACACACACACACACACACACCACACACACACACACACACACCACACACACACACACACTCACTCACGCGCTCGCACCCCCCCCCCCCACCTACACACACACACACGCACACACACACTTACATACCTGTGTATCCAGGGCTGCAACGCGTGGTCCAACCACCCTATGAGATGAAGCGTGAAAAGCGGAGTGATCGTAGGTTTGAGCGCACAAGCAGCAAATGGTGTTGACGTGAAAAACATCTGCTCGGTGGCTGCAGCAGTGTGTGGTGGATGTGAGTGCGTAGTTCACTAAACGCACCGAATTTCAGGGTGCGAGGATGTAATCTCGTTGAAGAACGGGCCTTCGAAAGGGCTGCACACGACAACATCACCAGCTTCAAGCCCTTTGGTCTTGAGTGTGCTTGGTGTCACCAGGAACCGTGCAACTGTGGAGTCAAGTGACTGTCGTACAACCAAGTCGAAGAAACGGAGTATGTGTACGTGTGTGTCGGTGTATGTGAAGGTTTGTTAGAGTGATTGTGTGTTAGGGAGTGTGTGAGTGAGTGCGAGTGACGGCGTGTGAGCGTGATTGTAAGAGAGACAAGGAGAAAGAGTGTGTGCGTGTGTGTGTGTGTCGGTGTGCATGTGTGTGCGTGAGGAGGGATTGCTAGCAGTGTAGTAGAGTGCAGTGTTCATTGGGTTGGATTGTGTCATGTGCATTTGCCGTGACTGGAATCGATGTTCGTCTGCAACAAGAGCACCCGCGGCAGAGCAGGTCAGCCCATCAGCCCAAAACACTGGGGTCACACCTCGAAGATGTCTTGTGCAGTCTCTTGGGACAGGTTGCCGTCACACACGATGAAGACTGTGATGTGGCGCACCAACGATGGTTTGTGAGTGAGCAGGCTGCAAAGAATGGCGCCAATGCAGGTCGCACCAACCAGCCTCAGTTCATTGTTGCAGATCACACACGCACACACACACATGCACACATACACACGCACACACGCACACACGCACACACGCACACACGCACACACGCACACACGCACACACAAGTACCATTGTCGTGCCTGCGTTGGCCCTCACCGTGCATGTTGATGGTTGCCACGTTTCAGTAAGGTTTCGGGCTATGTTGTGTGGTTCGTGGCGAGCTTGGATTCCACAAACACCACTACCAACAGTTTGTCTGCACTCGGTGTTGAGCGGCTAACCAGGGTCTTTGCTTGGTCGTGTGCTCTACCCGCCTTGTGTTCTCTCACACTCTCCCTGTCTGTCACACACACGCGCGCGCACAGCAACAACGTACGCGTTTCCTTCTCGCTTGTTGGTTGCCTGTATTGGCTGGTGCTGGTGCGTTGTGGTTGTCGTTGGACGTGCGATTTGAAATTCCCGGTCACCAAAATAGCAGGCGTTGAAATTTGGGTGCTGATTGTTTTTGGAAGATTTACATAATAGTCTATGTAACTCCGAACGACACCAAAAAAGAAACGAGAAGTGGCAAGCAAACAAAAGGGGGGGAAAGCTGGCTGGCTGGCTGGGGGTTGGTTAACGCTTGGTGGTGATGTGACATGTGTGACATGAAGACAAGCAAGGACAACGCACATCGAGAAGGAACGAACAGCAGAGGCGGAATGAGACATAGCTGACCTGTGGAGCACATGCTCGGCACGCACACACACACACACACACACACACACACACACACACACACACACACACAAGTGAGCAGCCGCTGTTGTGACATCATGACACGATCGTGGTGATCATCACAAGCAGCAGTGCTCCAGGTGACCCTTTACAGCGGCGCCAACGGTGTTCACATCAATCAGGAATGTGTCATGGCCATACAAGGCATCCAGCTCATAGTACGTAACATTCTCGTTGCCTCCCTCTCTGTGAACAAGGCACAGTCATGGAGCCAGCAACCATTGTCGTGAGCTGATGGCACATCACAGCATCACCACAAAATCAGACAAACATACGCACGCAAAGCCACACACACACACACACACACACACACACGCACGCACGCACACCTGAGCAGCTGCACGACTTCTCGCTGTTGCATGACGGGGAAGAGCAAATCAGACTGCACGCCAATCACCTAAACACCCATCCATCCAACAAAGTCATCGCCATGCCAGCGGAACGTATTGTCCAATGTGAGTGCGAGGTGTGGATGACGCAACGCTTGCACTGCGTTGTGTGCTAGCTAGCGTAGGCGAGAAGTGGCAGAGGAGGGAGAAACGGCCGCAGCATGGGTCGCGTTGCGTGTGTGTGCGTGCGTGTGTGTGTGTGTGTGCGTGTGTGTGTGTGTATAAGGCACTGACCAGCGTCGGGCACGTGATGCGGGCAATGGCAGACGTTGGGTCCTCAAAGCCATCCGTCATGTCAAACATGTCCATTGCCTTTGTTGTTGTTGTTGTTGTTGTTGTTGTTGTTGTTGTTGTTGTTGTTGTTGTTGTTGTTGTTGTTGTTGTTGTTGTTGTTGTTGTTGTTGTTGTTGTTGTAATGTGTGTGTGTGCACGAGGAGCAGGAGTGTGAGAGCGTGGGTAAGGTGTGTGCGGACACAAGAGCCAGGGTTGGGAAGACGAAGATGTGACTGTTGAGAAAAGGTATGTTCGAACAAACGCAATGAAAAAAAAAAACCAACCACACACACACACGCACACACACACACACGCACACACACACACACACACACGCACACACGCACACACACACACACACAGATTGCACACACACACAGATTGCACCTTTGAGATGTAGATGAGAGAGTTTGGATCGTAGCGGAGGCAAGCAGTTGTACCCTGGTGATCAAGATATGTCTCAATTAGATACTCTGGCATGAACGAGTGCCGTGCTCCGTCGATGCGTTGTCTTGTGGTGGCGATGATTTGCGGTGTGTTGTGGTGTAGTGAGGTGGTGTGGTGTGTGGTGAGTTAGCGTGGTGCATCAAAGTAGATAAATAAGACGGGTGCGTAGGGGTCAAAATGGGCAACTTGTGAGAACAAAGTGGGTGCTACTACAGGGTGTGCAAAAGCATCGCAATATACCCACACCCACGCACAAGCAGGTCCATGGGCACACACCTGCTGAAGCGTTTCTCCCACTCGGGCCCGCTGCGGTAGCTGATGGTTGCAATCTCTCTGTTGGCGGTGGGTTGGCCGTATGTAGTGTAATTCGCAAGTGCGAAGGGTGAGATGGTGGGCCGTAAAACATTTGCACACCACCTGTGGGTATGTGCACACACACAAACCAAACCAAACCAAACAAACAAACCAAACAAACAAACAAACCAAACAAACAAACAACCAAACCAACAAACAAACAAACAAACAAAGACCTTGCGTGCTTCATGCCGAGGACGGGAAATTTCTTGCCGTAGTAGTTGCCGCCGGCCCAGTGGGGGTCTGCCATGATGATGCGCCGTTGCATGTACCTGTAATCACAACGCACAACGCGGGGGGAAAGGGGGTTGGGTGAGTCGGTGGAATGGTTGGGCGAGTCGGTGGAATGGTTGGGCGAGTCGGTTGAATGGTTGGGTGGAGGTGCGCACGGGTTGGGTGGATGGTTGGATGAGTTGGATGAGATGTGCTGGAGATGAAAGCAATGGGGTTCAATGGGTGTGACGGATTTGGAAGCAACGTTGCCGCGCTGTTGTGTGGATGGCGAGTTCCAAGGTGGGCGGGCGCGATACCTGAGGGCGATTGCTGTTGGATGGGCGCGATGGGCGGCGCTGATGCTGACGCACAGCCCAACGCGCTCAGGATACATGGCCGCGGCAGCCAGCGACTGCGCAGCACAAAACATGTGTGCAAGTAGTATGTTGAGGGAGATGAGACATGGAGAGTCAATGCAGCATGAAAGCGACAGACACAAACACAGACACGCACAGGCACACAGACACAGACACACACAGACACACACAGACACACACAGACACACACACACACACACACACTCTCTCTCTCGTACACAACACGCACCTGCATGCCGCCGAGCGACGATCCGACAGACGCGTGGAGTTTGTCAATGCCAAGATGGTCCAGCAGCAGGAACTGATTGACGGGTGATGGTGGAGATGATGGTGGTGGTGGTGATGGTGGGCTGAGGTGAGGGCTTGTGATGTGGGGGGGGGGCAGAGCGCGTCTGTGTACGTGTGAGTTTGCATGTGCATGTGTGAGCGCAGACGTGGACGTGAACAGCTCCATGTCTGTTTCACGCTGCACGTACCTGGGCACGGATCATGTCTTGAACCGTAATCAAGGGAAACGACGTTGCATATTCCTGTGAACACACACACACACACACACATACGCACGCACAAGGGAGAGAAGAGGGTCGTGTCAGAGTAAGATGGTCACAATGACAGTACTGAGATCGAAGCCAACAAGGAGAGCACACTCAAATGTGTGTGTATGTGTGTGTTCAAAGGGTAACAGCGCAGCGTTCTCACCTTGTTGGTTGACGGATTGATAGACGAGGGACCACTGGAGGAGTGTGCACATGCGCGCACGCGTGAACGTGTGGTTGTTTGTTTGTTTGATTTTGGAGAGTAAGATTGGAGGAAGCATAAGCAGGGAGAAAGTCACCTTGGATCACAGATACAGACACAGACACAAACAGACACAGACACAGACACATAGACACACACACACATAGACACAGACACAGACACAGACACAGACACAGACACACACACACACACACACACACACACACACCCTCGCAGTGCAGCAGCAGCAGCGCTTACGATGTGCCGTAGCAGCCGCCAAGGTTGTTTGAGCAGATGACAAAGTACTTGTTTGTGTCAATGGCCTTCCCCGGCCCAATAAACTTCTCCCACCACCCAGGTGTCTTGTTCCTCTGCATACGCAAACACGGCAATTGGCACACGTGTGTGCGCGCGTGTGTGAATGTGCGTGTGTGCGTGTGTGAATGTGTGTGATGAACAAAGTTCACTACGACAGCTCTACAACAGAGTGAACCACACAGAGACAACTGCATCAACACACACACACACACACACACACAAACACAGACAGACACAGACAGACACACCTCGTGCGAGTGCGCGTGACTGCTGGCGGAGAGACCCGTGTGCAGAAAGACAACATTGTCCTTTTCAGGAGAGAGTGTGCCCCATGTTTCATACGCAAGATGAAGCTCGGGAAGCACTCCTACGTGCACGCAAAGATGACCGGTGCGAGCATTGCATTGCGCAGGGTGAGGTGTCAGCAAGGAAAATGCGTGTTTGTCATGCAAGCAGCAAGGGTACCGCCTGCCAGCACGAAACGTTCGCGTGAGCTTACACATGGTGAAGCACACCAAACACACAGACACACAGACACACACAGACACAGACACACACACAGACACACACACAGACACAGACACAGACACACACACACACACACACACACACACACACACACACACGACACACACACACACACACAACACCGTGCAGAGCGACACCAAGACGCTACCGCAGGCTAACACCTCGAACGTGTTCCTCGACTGGGGACTGACAGGACCAGGTAGTAGGTGCGATGCGCACGCGTACTGGACATATAAAACCCTTAAAAGGTGAATCGGCCAAAGTGTGGGCCAGGTCCCTCGTGCAAACAACACGATACACGGAACGCTGAGAGGAGTTTTGGTCCTGGGCACCGGCTCAGCATAGAGAAATAAAGGAACCAGGTGCCATTGACGCCTCATTGCCTCAGATGATACCCCCGCAGTGAAACACACAGACACACAGACACACACAGACACAGACACACACACAGACACACACACACGACACACACACACACACACACACACACACACACACACACACACACACACACAGACACACACACACACACACCAAACACCAAACACAGACACACACACCTCCATTTGGGTTGTCCTTGATTTCACACTGGAAGGGCTCTCGGCTGTGGAACACGTTGTAGCCGTAGTTGATGGTGACATATGACGGCTCTGGGATGTGGACGTCAGAAAGGCTGCCAGCAACAACGACAACAATGAGAGTTGCCAGAGCGCGACACAGAAACACGCACATGGGGGCGTTCATGAGGGTTGACCACAACAGAGATTGCACAACACGGCTACATTTTCGCTGCTCAACGTCGGTTCCGCCACTTGCTTACACTGCATCACCGCGTGCACGAGGCAAGTACACGGGACGAGCACACACACACACACACACACACACACACACACACACACAGACACACACAGACACACAGACACACGCACACGCACAGACACAGGCACGCACACAGACACAGGCACGCACATACACACATGTGCGCCTTGACCTACATGGCCGAGTTTGTGGACGACTCTTCCTGCAATGATGGGGCGTATTCGCTCGGCTCAACGTAGTATGTGTAGTGGTTGGCGGGGTACTGAACGCAAGTGACCTCGCCCTCTGGGTTCTTCCATTGTGATGCCTCTGAGAAGAATGGGTGGGCAGCTGGGGACGCGGAACCGGCTTCAAGGCCACGGCGCTGCTGTGACGGCTGCGGCGGCTGTTGTTGATGCGGCTGCCCTTTGCGATGGTGCTTGTGTCGGCGTTGCTGGTGGTGCTCATGTGCGAACACGGATCGAAATGACCGCGCCACGCTCAGTCCTGTGCGGCGTTGCAGCAGTCCCGCAAGCATGGCTTCCTGGCCTGATTGAAGGGTGTCCGCTCTTCTTGGTGGTGGTGGTGGTGGTGGTGGTGGTGGTGGTTCTGGTTCTGGTGGTGCTTAGCAGAGAGTAGTGTGCGGTACTTGGAGCGAGTATGGTCGAAAGAGTGGTTCAGTTCTGTCCAGTGTGGTGCAATGGTGACAGGAAGGAGCAAGGCTGGGGGAGTTTAGGGATGCGTTCGGGATTGGCAACCGCGAGCAGTGTGTTTGCTATGGGTGTGTTTGTGTGCGAGCGGCTGTCTAGTCTTCCTCCTTGCCGCAAAGGTGTGATTTTGAATTGTGCCTTGACACGCACGATGTGATGTGCTGGGAGACATGGCAATACTCGCAGCCACACAGCGCATCCAAACCACGTGGGTTGATGTGTGAGCTGCACACTGCCCGCAGTCTCCCTTACCTTGTGTTTGTATTTCGCAGCTGGCAAGGAAATGCGGCGTGTCTGTGAGATGTGACGAACGTGGGGCTGCTTGCTTGCTTGCTTGGTGACTTCCTACCTGTCTGACGGCTGGTGTGTGTCTGAATGATGTCTGATGAGGCGAAGCGGCGGCTGGCGAGTATGCAAGAAGCGCAGAGAGAAGGAGGGAGGACAACAAGCAAGAAGCAAACAACTCAGATGATGTGATTGCTGATTGTTGGTGAAAATCTTCCATAATCGCCGTTGTCATGGATGGATACACACCGCGAGAGGTTTGTTTGTGTGTGTGTGTGTGTGTGTGTGTGTGTTTGTGTGTGTGTGTGTGTGTGTGTGTTTGTGTGTGTGTGTGTGTGTGTGTGTGTGTGTGTGTTTGTGTGTGTGTGTGTGTGCAGATGTGTGTGTGTGTGTGCAGATGTGTGTGTGTGTTGTGCATGTGTGCCTGTGCATGTCTGTGTGTGCTGTGTGTGTGTGTGTGTGTGCAGATGTGTGTGAACGAATCTTAGGTGGATTCGAGGCCTCTTGTGTTTCTGCCTCTCTCATTGTCTGTCATTGTCACATGCCATGTACATTTCCTCACAACACCCCTCCCACATGCCTGCACTGCCCTGTTCCAGGTTGGCGAGTGGATAGCCAGCCATGGCTTCCCGCAGTATAAGGTACAAGCTTGCTTCCGCACTGTGTGCGTTGTGGCTGTTGAGCTTTGCAGTGCCAGCCAAGCATTGCGGGGGCAGCTAATTCGACCCTTCAGCCCTTGACACACAGACACACACAGACACACACACACACACACACACACCAATCACTCACTCACACACACACACACACACACAGACACACACCACTCACTCACTCACACACACACACACACATACGCTCACACATACACACACACACCCACACGCAACCAACCATGCAAACCCTCAACTCGTTCTTTCTCTCTGTTTTTGCGTGTGATGGTTTTGTCGTTTAGGCGTGCTTTGAAGACAACTTCATTGATGGCGTGAAGCTTCGCAGTGTGGACGCGTCGGTACTGCCTACAATTGGCATTCGCGACTTCCAGCATGTGCGGGTGAGTGTCTTGCAGACCACGGCTGCTATTGCTCCGGCCGCCCCCGGGCACACTTAGTGGTCCATCCTGCCTGTGTTAACTCACACACACAAGCATATGTACACACACACACACACACACACACACACACCACTATGTACGAATACACACACCACTGACACACGCAAACAAATACCCATACACACACACACACACCCGTCCATCAGGCAATTGCGGGGCTGATTCGCCAGGCATATGGGCTGCCCAAACCCAATGCAAAGCAGAGCATCGCAGATGCACCTTTCACCACTCACTAGCTCCCTCGCGCATCAGCTGCCCGTGTTACTTTCCCACCAAACCATGCTGGCCCTGCGCAAGGCGCCACATTCACCACAGTCGCGTCATTCCACAAGTCCACATGACCTGTGTCGTCATCATCGCATAAACGAACCCCAGTGTCACCAAACCACAGTTGCACAAGACGAAAAAGCCCAAACGTCACTGTCATGCCACTTCACGAACACCAACAAAGACGATTGCGTGCTGGTTGCGAGTCGTCACGGAGGAACACGAGTGTTCACGAACAGCACCACCCTTCCTCCTCCCCTAAACCAAACGCGCA